AAAAAAAAAAAAAAAAAAAAAAAAAAAAAAAAAAGATGGCTCCACATATTAAATGGATCATAGGGTTGGATCCATGACCTAATGGGCTAATAGTACTATTTCAATATTGGAGCTTCAATCACCATCCACATTAATTTCTTACTATCATCAAATAATTATTTTATTTAATTATTTATATATATACATATATATTTGGGCCTCAAAATTATGTTCCCTTAATGAAATATAATTAATGAGTATGTGTTTATATGCCTCATCAATTCATTTTTCAAATTATTTGATTTCAATAAGTCTTTTCGATATTAATTGTATGGTAACATCCGACACACGGTGGGTATTTCATAAAACATTAAAACAAATAATATGAGAAATTAATTTTATTAAATAATTAAAATGTTCTCGTTCATAATTCGTACCTATGATTGACAAATTTACATAAATTTAGAAGTTATATAGTTTGATCAACTTCTTACATTTAGTAAGCCGTTGATGGATTGGTGAAGGATTAAAAAGGACCATTCTTTCACACTTCACTCATCACCCATGTTGACTTTAGTGCTCAAAATTAATTATCCTAATTATTTATTTAGCATTTTTTAATTTAATATATTAATTATATGTCTCTTTGTTTGAGTTGGCTAATCATATGTCAAATCTAATTATCAAATTTCCACAATCTATTTATTTATTTATTTTTAATTTTGCTTCCCTTAATATAGTAGCCCCAGTAATAAATTAGTAATTTAATTTAATTTAATTTAATTTAATTGTAAGTAGGGCAGTGGAGTGGGAATTAAATGCACATGATTCTAGTAGTACTAGATTTGCTCAACTCAAGAAAGTAAGTAAATAAAATAAACACACAAATTGACTAATTTTTTATTTTATTAATTTTAAGATATGGTATAGTTATGGCCTCTAAGCTCTAAGCTCTAAGGCTGACTTCAAATATATATAAATATATTTCATGCGACTTCGGTTACTATAAAAAGAATATAATTAAATTTTACAATATGGTTTGGTTTGGGAGACCAAAACTAGTGTTTGATTAATTATGCCTCTTTTTATTTATTTCTTTTCAAAATTAATTGTTTTTTATTTTTTATTTTTTTAAAAATATTTATCCAAAGTTATATTTGACGTCTACTATAAGATTTTATATGTATATATATATATACAAATTTTGAAAAGGATGTTTTTTTTTTTTCACTAATTTGTAAATACTTCTAAAAATAATATAGAGATATTTATATAAATGAATAAATTGAAAAATAAAAAGGAAAAAAAAAATGCATTGAATTTATACATGGTGTGGTATAGCATCATAAATAACACCTCCCAATAATTGACGGTTAAAACAAAAATGGAAATAACGCCAAATGAATGGGTGCCTAATAATACGTTTTATTTTTAATTCAACTAGATTAAACATATATTTTCACGTCATTTTTTATATTAATTTTTTTTAAAAAAAAAATTAGTAAATCAAATTTGAAGGTTTAAAGTTTAAATTTCATTTAATTAAACTCTAATATTAATTAAGTAAAATAAAAATAAAATTTATAAATAAATAAATAAATAAATAAAACCCTAAAATTGACCCACACGACTAATCCAGCCTGGGAGGGTTCACCTCCCTAACTCAATGCTCCTTCACCGTCTTTCCCCTCTTAACTATTATCGTATTTTTCTATTATTTATTTATTTATTTATATTTATTTATTTATTTTATAGATATTTAAGATCTTTATTTGTAAGAGACAAATGAAAGATAGGCTACGAATGATGGGAAAGAGGGTGGTGGGTGGAGACTGAGGAGAGAGAGAGATTATTATTAATATTATTAATATTATTAAAAATTATTATTAAAAATTATGAGGAGGAGTACTCGTGTACAACCGTTCCTATTACAATCTCCCTGCATCGTAAATGCTACAGTGACAAAGGGCATTGATGGCTCCTTCTATATATAAACCTCTTTATACCCATTCGTGTAGGGGTGACTTAACTTCTAATGCCCCACGTCTCTCCCTCCCTCTCTCTCTAAACACTTCTCTCTTCGAATCTTTTGTTTTTTTGCTTCATTTTACGATGCCCCTGCTTATTGAGAATGACTCTACAACTTTCAGCTTCTCCTCGCCGTCGCCGTCGCCGTCGCCGTCTTCGTCGGGGAGTTTATCCATGGTTCTATTAGGGGAGAGTGATCAGTCAGGGACGGCGGTAGACTCCAATCGGAAACGAGCCAAACGGCCGAGAGAAAACAGCAACAGCAAACACCCACTCTTCCGTGGGGTCCGAATGAGGGCATGGGGGAAATGGGTGTCCGAAATTCGTGAGCCTCGAAAGAAGAGTCGGATCTGGCTTGGCACTTTCTCTACCCCTGAAATGGCCGCACGTGCCCACGACGTTGCCGCTCTCACCATTAAAGGAAACTCCGCCATTCTCAACTTCCCTGAACTCGCCGATCAATTCCCCCGCCCCGCTTCCAACTCCCCTCGCGACGTTCAAGCCGCCGCCGCCAAAGCCGCCTCCATGGAAATCCCAACTCCCCCACCTTCCTCCTCCTCCTCCTCCTCCTCCTCCTCCTTATGTCCATCGACGCCGGAGGAACTGAGTGAAATAGTGCAACTCCCGAGTTTAGGAACGAGTTACGAAACGGCCGAGTTAGGAAACGAATTCGTATTCGTCGACTCAGTGGAAGGTTGGCTTTATTCATACCCATGGTATCAAAGAGTGAATAACAATGCAGATGAAGAACAGAGCCATGGCTTCTTCAGAGACCAGATTTCAACAGACTCCATAACTCCTCCATCTTCAAGCTTCGAAGCTTTCTTATGGCAATATTAAACCCCCATCTCCCCCATTACACGTGTGATTTCTCTTCCCTCTTCTCCAATCCAAAACAAAACATTTTCCATCAAATTTCAAATCCCCTGTGTTCTTTCGTTTTCCCCCATTGATTATATGAAGCCAAATACAGTGGTTCTTCAGGTGTTCATCAGTGAGTAATATCTGTTGAATAACAATAAATCAAATTAAATCAATCATAAATCTCGCCTCAATCTGTTCATATAAAATTGCCATCACCTCTAATTATGCAGCTGATCCCTCCAAATATTTATTCCACTTTCTGAAACGGAATTTAATTGTCAAAGGTCGTTGTAATTCTTCCAACAGTAAGGAGACATATGTCACATCAAAATCTGATCAGAATCAACAAAAAAAAAAGAAGCCCTCCTTTTCTTTTCCCTTCTTAAATTAGTTTAATTAATTAATTCAAATGAGTCAGACCCACCATGTTGGGGTTTAATGGAAGCTTAAGTCTAATCACTGTCCTAATTACGGGACCAATTTGCTAACTACATTCTTAACATTATTTATCCAACTCATTTTTTTTTAATTAATTAATTAATTGTTTCCCATGGGCGACGCCTAGGAATGCGTTGGATTTCCTGCAAAACGACATGTCGCCAACTTCAAAAATATCAATTAACTCATTCACTCGCTCAATAATAATATTAATTTTGACTACACTTCCCGAAAAGTACTAAATTTTTTGTTTTATTTAATCAATTAAAAATGATGGGCGGTGAATTCCAATAATAATACTATAATCAGAGTTTGAGTTATTAAATATTTATTAGTAGAAAGGAGATTTAATTGAATTTATGACGTCACAATCTAAATGCCATAAAACCTATGAAGTCTCCACACAACAAGGCGCCCAACTACCTCAACCACCACTAGGAATAAAATCTATTGTTCTTTTTCATTAATTATATATAAATTAAATCCATTTCCTTATACATTGTTTCAAAAAATAAAAATATTTTAATTATTTATTGAATATAGTTTGAGGTTAATTAAAAAAAATGTGTATTTTTTTTACTTAAAATACATTTCAATTTTTAGGGTTTTGTTTGGGTCAAAACTTGTGGGTGCTTCAAAGTGATATTTTTAAATGACAATTCAGGAAGTTTGGGTTTTTGTGGGGTTATATTTATTTCTTACCCTTTATTTATTTATTTATTTATTTATTTATTTATTTATTTATTTATTTATATATATATCCCTGTTCCCATTTTATTAACGAGAAAATTGATTCTATCATAAAAATAATATTCAATCTTGAATTTAAATTTTTATATTTAAATTCACTTAAATCAAACTAAATGATTGTGGTCGGTGTATTTTTTTTCAAAACTAAAAATAAAAAATAAAAAAAAATAAAAAAAATAATGTGGTTCTTGCCTTTTAGCTTAACAATTATTTAATATAGATGGGGTATGAAACATTGGGTTTTGGAGCCTTGACTATAACAAAATGAAACTTTTTTCATGTTGGTTTTGTTTTTGTGTGGACAACGGGATACTTTTCGACTCCATGTGAACACACTCTCAGATTTCATACACATCGCCATTGGCATCATCTCCCCCTCCAAAACCCTATAATTCGAACTCAAAATTCATTCATTACTTAACTAGAGGTTGGATGCACGTGGAAGTTTCAACCAAGACATGTCCTCATGAAATGTCTACGGGACAGAGACGAGAAAGTTGAATGCATGTAGAAGCTTCTACCCAATAAGGTATGCCCCATTAAAGATGTCCACGGAACAAGAACGAGAAAGTTAGATACATGTAGGAGCTTCTACCAACTAAGATATGTCACATTAGAGATGTTTATTGGGTGAGAACGGAAAAGCCTTCCCCTTCCACACTCATAATAATGCCTCCCATTATAGTAAACTTAGTACGTAGTTATTTAACAATTTGTTTACACCTAATTAAAGTTAGAAACAGAGGTAATTAAGGTTGTTTGTGATCCAATATAATTGGATTGCATCAAAAGCAACGCCACGTGCTTCTCAGCAGCCCAGCGCCTTCATTGACCACCTCTGATCTGTTTCCTTGCTACTTTATTATTTTCTTTACTTCCAGATTTAAATACCTTTAATATAAATACCTGTTTTTGCATTGGAATATTAAGTTCGAAAACGAAAATAAAGTGAAAAAATACCCGCAAATTACAAATTTAATCCTTAAATATTTAAAGGGTCGACGCGAAATAAATAAAAATATTATATTTGTGATTTAACCTAGTTTCATCCCTGTTGGATGATGGAAGTCCCACATCGACTAATCTAAGGAATGATCATGGGTTTATAACACAAAGAATACTCTCTCTATGGTTATGAGACTTATGCTTAAAGTGGACAATATCATACTATTGTGGAGGGTCGTATTCGTCTAACAATCCCGATTGAATATAATTTTTTTTTAAAAAGAGAGAATATGTTTGGGCGTGGAGCCAAAAATGAGTTGAACAAAAGTAATTGAAAAGATTGGTGATGAAGTTTGTGGAGAGGATAATATTAATTAGGATAATCTAATTGGTCCACTTGGAATCTAAAACCAAAAATAATGGTATAATAATAGCATAGCTCAGACTATAGCTAACAGTGACACTAAATGATATAATAAATAATAAAGGGGAAATTATTTTTATCCTAAAGTTGTCTAGTTTTATTCTTAAACTCTTACTTCCATTAATTTTAAGCTTATAATTTAAACTTATAATGTAAATAATTTGTTTTGATTCAATATTTGACGGTGTTCGATTTATTCACTTCAACCTTTCATCGACTATACTCAAATCGACCATAATTATTACAATTATTTAACAAAAAAACATGTAGATTCATATGGGTTGGAGTGATACGTTGAAAGAAAATAGAATAAAAATAAAGGAGCCATGATTTTGGTGAACAAAACATTGAATGAAAGAGGATCGAATTCTTTGTATGAAGTAAAATGAATAATTGATTAATACTAATTACCAAACTCTTTCCTTCTCTAGGGATTCTAACAGTAAAATTCCAATAATATATAAAGAAAAAGGAATGGAACAGAAATTAAACCTAACTATGAAACCCAAAAATGATTTGAAAGAACAACACAAAGAGAGAGAATTAGTGGAATAAATGATTTGAATCATTTATCACATTCTACTTATTTGGCATGAAATGTATGGACTATGTCCAATGCTCTCTCCCAATTACTTCTTAATCATTTCACATCATCGTATCATCGTAACGTTTAAACTCAATAAGTATGTAATCGAAGACCTTATAGGTTGAATTTTAAAAAAAGTGTAGAATGAAAAAAATACTCCCGATACCTTGGGGAACAAAAGTTAAAAAATTTGAGTCAAAGTCAACCGAAGGGCAAAATAGTAATTTTACTCCGATTTCTCTTTTGAGGGGTCTGACTCTCCTCGATAGATCTGCGTAGATGAGGGACAACAAAAAATCTAAAAAAAAAAAAAAAAAAAAAGGAAAAGAAAGGAACGCTTCCCACCATGGTTCGAGCCTGAAGTTGGCAGTTACATCCTGTCTTTTGAAACTTGGAGATTGAAGGTGTGAAATTAATTAACATGTAACACATATGTTATAATTACTTTTTTAATTCACCTAATCCATAATTAAATTAATAAATACAACATTAAACTCAAAATTAGGTGACCATAAAGTTGTGCAATTTAGAATGCAGCGAGAGAGACAAATAACAGCTTTCCAGTTGTACGGGTGTGTGAATAAATTGGCATACATTTAAATTCCTCTAAGCCTTTATTTCATCAAACAAAAAATGTCAACAGAAACATAGCTATGTGAACACGTTGAATGAACAAGATCAATTAATAATCAACTGGATGCATTGGGGTTGAGATGGTCATAAAGCTGCGCACGTGGATGAGATCGAGCTCGGCCCCATCGGGAAACCTTCGCGGCGGTTGCGCCGGACCAATGCTGGGGTGGTTCCAGTTGCCAATCTAAGTAGCGGCGGTCCGACGGCGGAGGTGGCGGTGGTGGGGTTTACAGAGTAACAGAACGGGGTAAACAGTAAATGTCGGCAGCAGTGTCAGGCGAGTGCACGTGGCTTTCAGGTGAGGGGAGGGAGGGATGACTGGTAACTGGGTATTGCCGGTTTCCAAGATGTTAAAATTAGACATGGTCAGCTTCCCAAGAGCGGAAAGATGCCACCCGGATTCTCACTTCTCCTTTTTGTTTTATAGTTTCAAGATTTGCGGCCCTCTGGATTTTAATTATTTAATTACTTAAAATTATTTTAATTATTTAATTATTTATTGCATCCTAAAAGTCTTTGCCTTTGACAATCTTTGACTCTCTTTCTCTCTCCATAATTACTATTTCTTTTTTTAATTTAACAAAAAGATGAAGGAAATTTCCTAAATGGCCTAATTTTATTTATTTATTTATTTTTCCCCCTTTTTCCATCGAACGAATCATGGTTGATTTTAGTCACCATGGGCTTCCTTCATGGGCCCATGACCCGTACCCATCAGATGGAAAGAAAATAAAAAAAATGGTTTACTTTTAATATTCTATATTTATTATTATTTTTTTTAAATGAAGTATTATTTGTAGTAAGACCTTCCATGAAAAGACAAAGAAAAGATGAATAAAATTATAACTAATCATTTACTTCTTGAACAAAAGTTAATTAAGTGTAACCCACCAAAATTACACATGCAAAATGATTAACACACTGAAATTAAGTATAATAAAGTGTTAATTTTTTATTTTTAAAAAAAAACATAAAGAAGGAAAGTGTAGTAATAATAATAATTATTATTTTGGTGACTTTTTGGAAAAGGGCCGAATAATTATCGAAAAAGATACATAAATAAATTATCGTTGGCATGACACTTAATACATGCATGTTAAATAGAGTGTAAAGCGCTATTTTCAAACCCCATTTAGCCAAGTGGACACTAAAGTACAAATAAATTTTTTTATCACTATGGTGTAGTTTCTTTTTCGTTCTTTTTCTAATAAAAAGTATATTAAACGAAAATTAAATAAAAGAGATGATAAATACTATATAGATTTAAAATAATAATTACATTTGTTTATTTATTTTAGAAAAATAAAAATGGCATGAAATTACAAAGCTAACTTTTAAAAAACATGATGATGGAGAAATATCAATCATGTCTTTTTCTTTCCAATACTTCTACCAATTAAATGAACGTTCTTTTTCGTAGTCAAGTTTAGTTAGCTTCCTTTTTATCTTTATATTGCGCGTTTCCAATGCTCAACTTTTTTCTTGTCTATCGATAATTTAATAATAATAATAAAAAGTATAACTGGTCGAGGTATTATTTATTTGATTTATGAAAATAAATATATTTAAAATTAAATTATCTATAAAATTCATGATTTATTAAAAATAATGGAGAAGTGATCATTGTTATTTTGATGTCAAATTTTAATTAAATAAATAAAAGAGAATAAAATAGAAAAAATGTGGATTGTGAGTAATAATTGGATGCCGACGAGGTGAAAATGGAAGTGGGAGAGAGTAGGGTGGAAGTAGGTGTCTGAAAAGTTTCCGGTCGTGTGGTATGGTCCCTATCGGCTCAGCCGTCGCACTCAGATCCGGAAAGCTATAAAAAATAAGATACGGTTGTTGGATGATAGAAATCCCGCATTGGCTAATTTAGAGAATGATCATGGATTTATAAGGAATACTAACTCCATTGTTACGAGCCCTTTTGGGACGTCCAAAACAATGATGGAAGTCCCACATTGACTAATTTAGGACTACGAGTTTATAAGTGAAGAATACTAACTTTACAAGGCCTTTTTGGAAAGCCCAAAGCAAAGCCAGACTTCATGAGACTTTATGCTCAAAGTGGATAATATGGTACCATTATGGAGAGTCGTGTTCGTCTAACTAACTTTTTTTTCTTTTTTTTCTTAATTTTAAAAAATGAGGGCTTTTTGCTTTCTAAGTTTTAGCCTCAACCATTCTTAGTCCATACAACGTTACGATCAATAAACTTTGAAATTGCAGTAAAGCTCGACTCTAAGCCTTTGTGGCGAAGGGTCACTGTAGGGGTGGCCGTGGAGCGGTGGCGGTGGTCGGAAGGTAGCCGGCAGCGTAGGGACGTGAAAGTATGTGCGGCGTTGAAGATGAAGGAAGAAGGAAAATGCGTAAGGGGGGACCCTATATATATATATATATTTTATTAATATTATTTAAAAGTCTTCCCACGTGCGGACTTTCTCCACTGCTTTCAGCTTGCCGACCGACCGACGGCAAACCACCCCACTCCCCACTACTTTTCGTTACTTTCCAATTTTCCTTTTTTTTTTTCTTTTTTTTTGTGTGTATTTTATTAATGGACAGAAATTTATCTATTTTTCTGTCTGATATTATTTTTGTCCTTGTCGCGTTCTTAATTTATCTTTTTTTTTTAATTAAAAAAATAGAGATATAATTGAAGAATAGAACTAATGTTTGGGTCATGATTTTATAGTTGACCTTCAATGGATTGTTTCGCAACTTTTATACAATTATGTGCGGTTAGAATTATAAAAAGGAATTCAAATTGAGTTCATGTTCTTCAAGAGTTGGGATAAATTAAAAAGTTATGGCTCATAATATTTTTTTTAAATATTTAAACTTTAAATTTGGTGACCTATTTAATTTTTTAAAATTAATTTATTTAATATAGAAATATCAAATAAAACCATAAACATTTTATTTTGTATTTAATAGGTTCGTGAAATTTTAATGTATTGAATAAGTTAAATATTTATTAGATATATAATTAAAAGTTTAAGGAACGCTCTATTCAACGTTTCAAAATTTATGAACATGATCCTACATAAATTATTTTGGAATTTCTGTACAAACTTAATTCAATAGGTAAATGTTATTACCTTAATTCATAATTGAGTGGTTCGGAGTATACGGTACAATATTATAAGAAGTTGAAATATTTAATAAAATACAATATAGTTGGATCGTCAAAGCATATTGAAGATAAAGAAATAAATTAACAATATTGTTAGATGAACATGATTTTCCACAATGGTATGGTATGATATTGTCCACATAAGCTCTCTTAGCTTTGCTTTGAGCTTTCCTAAAAAATTCTAATAGAGATAATATTTATTTTTATTATAAATTCATGATCATTTCCTAAATTAGAGATAAAAATTTATATTTTCAATTACGTTGAACATCCTATTCAACCTTTGTAGAAAGGCCGAATATTAATGCATACAAAAAAATAACTCTTGAAATTAAAAATATTACAAAGCCCATCACCTATGTTCGAATTAGATAGTTTTAATAAAAAAATCGTCTAATCATAATAATTGCACTAAAGCTAGATTTTTTTTTTTTATAAAAAAAACATAGATATATAATTAGTCTGTTGCAGTTGAAAATGTGTCTTGGTATAGAAAATTCTATATTTATAATCATTTAGAAATATGGTAAACTATAAATAATATGAAAAGAATAATAAAAGAAAGGAATAATAAATGAATACAATATATTTGCTTTTAATAGACTAATAAACGTCTTATAATAAAAGTCAACTATCTTAATAGGCCAAAATATAATTATACAAATAATCCTCAAAAGTCAATCTCCTACCAACCATGAGCAGAAATAAAAAAATAAAAATAAAAATTGAAAAAAAAAGAACAAAAATAAGATATAATACTAAAAAGTAGAACATGTTTAAGGAGTGCATGTGTAGCGACTCAACATTCTTGTCTTGATTAAGAGGCTTAAATTTCGTATTTTTTTATGCCACAATTTGGATTCAGAGGGAACAAAATTGATGGGTCAGGAAGGAAGCAACCGCTCATAACAAGTAATCACAGAAGATGGAAATGGGCAACAAATTAACACTGTTTTCATACCCATCATGTTCACAATCTTAAACAACCAGGACAACAGGAGAAGGAAAGCAGCCCATATTAACACATCACCGTTCGGCTGAACAGGGGAACGTAACGTTCCTTTTAATAATATGGAAACTTCTCAGTAACAGTCGAGTTTTAAAATCGTAAAGCTAACGGAGATACGTAACGGGCTAAAACAAACAAATGGTATCAGAGCAAAACACTGAGCGGTATGTCAGCGAGAACGCTGGGCCTCAAGGAGGTGGACTATGAGATTCCATATCAATTGGAGAGGGAAACGAAACATTCCTTATAAGGATGTGAAAACCTCTCCCTAGTAGAAGCATTTTAAAATCATGAGGCTGACATCGATACATAACGAGCTAAAACGGAGAATACCTGCTAGTGGTGGACTTGAGCTATTAGATTTGGTTTAATCGATAACAAAGTTTCAGCTGCATTGAAAGATAACCATAGAAGCACCCATCAAACAACAAGATATGAATATAGCAGCATATTCCTTACCAGTTATCCTTGCAGGAGCATTTCCCATTTGAAAAATGATGAAATCTATTTGAATCTCTCAAGATTATTTGCCTTCTAATACTCATAGATGCAAACTTCATGAACTCATGGCAATCGCTGCAAATCCGAATGTTCTTTATGATCCTTATTGGACTAACTCCATTACCTTTCTTAATCAAACCAAAGACAAGCGCAAGTTTCTCGCTGTGGAAACATATGGATTTCAACTTCTCCTCCTCTCCAACATCATGCAAAACCAGATTTGTATTAGGCCTAAATCCCTGTTCTTCAAGTTTCCTTATCAATATCTTCAATTCCTCATAGATTTGTTCTGTTTCTGGGTGTGTTCGATCTTCGGATGTGAATTTGTGCACCTCATTATCAATCTCAATCCAACTGTACCCAGCAAACTTCTTCACATTCTTGTTCTTCATCACACTCCTAACTGCTGCTACATCCTTCCATCTACCCATAGAGGCATACATATTTGAGAGCATAATATATGGCACAGCATTGGTAGGATCCAATTCGAAGAGATGCCTACCTCCCATTTCTGCACTTGCAACATCACCCTTTGTTGCACTAACAGATAGAAGTGTGGACCATATCAGGAAATCTGGTTCATGGGGCATACTTTTTATTAGATCAACTGCTTGATCGATGCGACCTGAACGTCCTAGGAGATTGACCATACATGCGTAATGATCCAAACTAGGCGTCAATCCGTGTTGATTGCTTATAGAATCGAAGAACACCTGCCCTTGTTCAATGAAATTAGAATGGAGACAAGCAGATAAAACGCCTACAAAAGTAACATTATCAGGTTTGAATTTCTCTTGCAACATGTTTTCAAAGAGTTCGAGGGTGTCCTTATCACGTCCGTTTTGTGCATAGCCAACAATCATAGCATTCCATGTAATCACATTCCTAGTTGGCATCACGTCGAAGACTGACCTTGCGTCCTCGATTAAACCACATTTGGAATACATGTCGATTAATGCGCTTGAGACGAGTAAATTGTTATCAAGCCCAGCAAGAATTGATTTTCCATGGATTGCCTGACCATGATATAGAGATGCTAATTTGGCACATGAACTGACAACGCTCGATAATGTGTAGCTGTCGGGTTCAAAGTGTTCTAATAGCATTTCGTTGAACAACAACAGTGCATCCTCTTCTCTGCCGCTTTTTGCATAACCCACCAACATGGCTGTCCAGCAAACAATATCTTTGTCTTTAAACTCATTAAATACCCTTCTTGCTTCATCTGCACGCCCACATTGACAGTAAGCTGCGATCACAGTTGACAAGGTAACTTGATCAGGCATATGACCAGACAAGCGCATGTCATGTAACAAACCAATGCACTTCTCAGGCTGTCCATTCTTTACATACCCAGATATCATCAAGTTCCAAGAAACCAAATTCTTGTTAGTGAGACGATCAAACAACCACCTTGCCTGTTCAATCTCACCACATTTGGCATACATATCTGTTAAAGCATTGCAAATGAACACATTCCCTAAATAGTTATGCACAATAACACTCCCATGAATCTGTTTCCCACGCCTCAAATCCAACAATTGTGCAGATGCATTCAATGCGCTTACATTTGTATACTCCGTAGGTGCAAGACCCTCCCTCTGCATTCTTCTGAAAAGCTCAAGCGACTCTTTTGGAAAACTATTTCCAGACAAACCTGCTATGATCGTATTGTATGAAACTGAATCGCGGTAAGGCATTCGATCAAATGTTGCCCGCAAATCCTGGATGGACCCTGATTTAGCATACGCAGAGAGCAGAGCATTCCAGGAGAAAACATCCCTTTCAAGCATTTTATCAAACAGGTTTTGGGCATCCCGAAGCTTCCCGAATTTTGCGTACAAATGAAGTAGCTGATTGTGGAGAAAGGGATCAGGGGGTTGGAAAAGATGGTGTTCCATGTGGGACTGCAGTCTCTTAGCTTGGTCGATTTCATTTGCACGGACACATTCGAGGACCAATTGGGTGTAGGCCTCAGAGGTTGCGGTGCTTCGAGAGCAAAGCAAGTCTACTGCTTGCCGCAGCTTGGATTTTGCTTTCATTTTCAGTCGTCTCGAGTTTGAATTCGAGATTGAAAAATCTAGGCGTCTCTTAAAAGAAAACTGAGGTCGTTGGTTAACGGTTAACCAGGCCACGTTTCCTGTCGGAATTTGGGCATGGTAGCCTCTAAGACTCACTCTGATCCGACGTCCTCGTGTGATACTTCATGTGTCGGTCTGTATCAAATATGTTGTTCTCTTGACTTCTTTTCACAAAATAGAAAATATTAATATATTTGTTTTTCATTTTTTTTTTAAACACGACACAAAATAACCCATCACTACAGCCATATAAATGCTCAATTATTTTTTAAAATAAAAAATCATACCATCGTCGATGTGTCTCAAATTTTATTTCCCTTGGTTTATATTTCAAATTTATTAGGAGAAAAAAATTCTGTTATCTGGTAAAGGTTTTAGCCCATTTTTTTAATTTTGTTATTTTTATTTAATCAATTACTAAAATAGAATTGGTAAAGATTTTAGTCCATTTTTTTTATTTTGTTATTTTTATTTAATCAATTACTAAAATATTCTTATTTCATTTTTAATGGGAGGATACATTCCCTATCTGAACCCAATTTTAAAAAATTGAATTGCAAAATTTTATTAAAAAGGATAGAATCGATCTTGTAGAAGTTGGAACTATGACGACGATGAATAGAACGATAAATCCAAGTTCACTTATATTGAATTGAAAATACTAATTTTTTTATTTTTCTAATAAAACTATGTTTTGAACCTCTTTCATAAAATAATCTCTTTCACCACACTATGCCCAAAAGAGAATTAGAGTGCTGAAACAATAGCTCAACTTTAGAATTCTATGGATCAATATAGAACATATTGATCTACCATAGGTCAGACAAAAGTTATGACATTCTGAGGTTACTTCAAGGTTAAGCCCTATCTATTGCTACCCATATGTGAGGCGTCCTCTTAGCATTTGGCAAACCCCGATGTCAGGCCATCTCTTGCTTTCGTCATTCTTTCTCCTACTCTATATTAGTTGAACTAAAAACTTAGACAATTCACAAACCTTCTGCTTTGGACTTTGGAGGGCCTGAAGCTTTAACTACGACCAGGCTCAAAGGGACTACTTGATGAATAAAGCTCCTACTAAAAGAATAACTCAACATTCATAGGAATATTTAATTTACTGAAAGTCAACCATGCTGCATCGAAAGGACTGGTAACGATCGTTCGCAATTAACTTCAACAAGAGTTGGAACTTCTTAAACAGAATGGGTTGACACTGAAGCAAAGTTTGGTTCCAATTCCATCTATCTCTGTCCGAAGTCCAACCAATGGCCAAAACATTTTTCATGCTCAAAATATTCAGAATCTATTATTTGAATTCATCAATAGCTGCAAACACGTCGTTTCGTTACGTTTTCGATAGAAAACCAATCAGGGAAATGGAAAGGAAAATGGGAGCTTTCAACAAAAATAGAAAGAGCGAACTATCAGTCATAGCAGTTGTTCTGGTTTGGCATATCAAAGTAGAAGATGGTTCTTTGTGAGCAAATAGTAAAGCGAAGATGAGAAATTTGATGAATAAAGACCCAAGAAAGTGCGTAAAAAGATCCGTCGGCTATCAAAATTTAAATTAGATCCTGTTAAAACGTGGATTTAGCAAAGGGAAAAATATATGATAAGACTACAAAATTTCGCCGTCCGCTAGAAATTATCATACTATGCCTCAACATGTACCTGCCAAGGTTGTCAAATATATATGTAACTAACATACTTCTGAAAGTTATCCCATCAGCTGATCTTTCAGTGCCACGGATTTCTCCTTTTTATTCCTGTTCTTTTCGAACTCGTAATTGAACTGGATTTCTGCAAATCGATAACCATCAAATAGCAATAATTAAAGGATGCAAAATTGGTGTCAGGTCAACCAAGTGAACAGCACTTGAAGTATACATACCGTCTTCGACTTTTTAGTCTTTCCCCTTATTCTGTTCTTTGGAGATTTCAATTTGTAGATTCTTACCATCCAATGGTGAGTGGTGAATACCTAAAAAGATCCATATTCACATCAAAAACCCCATGATAGTACAGTGCATAGCAACTTGTAAATATGTACAGCTGGTCACAAAAACTGAAAACTACTTAATAAGTTACAACTCAATGACTTCATTAAGACTATTGCAAAAATATGATAAAATTGGATCTGATAACTTGGATTAAGTGGAACTGATACAAAGAAGCGAAGATAAATGGTTGGAGAGAAAAACAAGAGACTCTTCAAAGTGAAGCACATGGATAGTTCCATTTTTCTAATAGTTTAATTTTCGTTACTTAGCTCTTGGTACAAGTCTCCTCCATCTTATAACCCCCTCCCTCCCTCCTACCCCCGGGGGAAGGAGTTTCTTGAATCAAATTTTCTATCACGAAAAAAATTGTACTTTCCTCTATGGAAGATTTTATTGTTTACCTCTTCAAAATGCGAAAGTTTAAAATATTTCTTCCCAATTTCTGTCTGCCTCACCCTGTCATATCCTTTACCATCTGTCTCCACGAACCTGCAGCCAAAAGAACAGAAAAGAATAAGAATTATAACGGTGAAAAAAGAACTATAAAAACCAAGAAAGAAACAATGCCTATTTAACAAATCATGAGCTGCACTAAATAATTACAAACCTGTAGTACGAGAGTTTGTACATGAGACTATTTAGCATTGTTGGAGTGGCCTGAGAATCAATGCGATACTGACCATCTCTCTTTACAAAGAAAGAAAAGGGAGAAGACAAATTAGAGGTTAGAGAATTTTGTTTACAAACTAGACTTCAAACAAGTCAAAAAGCACCAAGTTTCAGTGTGTGAACATACAATAGAGAAATATGGACTGATAAGTGCCTTAAAAAGAAAAAAAGAGAAGAAGACGAAGAACACTTACTAGGTAATCCGGTTCCTTGATATGAGGGAATACACCACCTCCTATACGAACCATCCACAAGAACTTATTGATATCATCACTTGGGTACCCAACAAAACCTGCAGAGACAGCAAAGAAATCAGAACAAATATTTTCAGTTGTTAAGATGATTCAGCAAAAGTGTATATTTTTCTATGATCAATTTCAAGAATAAACTTTTTCAAAACAAGAATTCACAACATTTCTCTGTGAGCGGTCTCAAATCCAAGAGTTCGGGCTTAGTGCAATATGGGGACATTTTCTTTTAAATCAGTTTGCAGCATTAATACCTCCCAAATGAGGAATCCACATCAAGACATTCACTTGCAACAAGGTGGTTGTTAGTTCATAGAATTAGGGACTTGAACAAGGAAATACCTGAAGGAACCAACTTTCAAAGAAATACTTTCTCCACTACCAAGAGCAAAGTCATCAATCGCCTCTACTAGAACCTTACATCTTCCAGTTTCTCATATCGTTAATTTCTCATTGCGACAGTTTTCCAAGAGTGAGTTTTTTCTTCCCAGGCATGAAAATTAGAGATCCTTTTCAAAAATATATACATCCTTTTGAAAAAAAAAAACATGAAAATAAGAGAGGTTTTCTTGCGCTGAAAAAAATATAACCGAGGAAATATAATGGAAAGAGGCAAATTTCCAACCCAAGTGTCATTCCAGAAAGAGGTTTTCTGACCTTTTTTCTCTTTTGAAAGGGAAACATCCATAGAGAATTTCATTGATAATATGAAATTACAAAAGAAGGCCTAGCCGTAGGAATTACAACGAAAACTCATCCAATGGGCCATGATGGAGGATAAGCCACAAGAGCCAAAAGGGCTAGTGATTCAAGGACTCCTGGTACTCTACGTTTTCTTAATATTAAGTAGTACATTTGTGGCAGACCATGGTTTTTTATATTTTGCAGTCCATCGGTGTTCACGCTTCATGAATATTACTAAGTCTTATGCCACAACTCGCTTGTTTCTTTTGAAAATATCCACAATCATTTTGTCATAAATGCCTCATTCTTTATACTCTGATTTCTGATTTCCGGCTCCTGAACCTCCACATACCAAAATCATGGAGGCTGTATACCAGTCAATCAAATGTTTCAATTGCCCTTCACTATCACCAAAAAGATTAACTCAATTTTCTCTAAACCTAGCGTTGCCTTCCTTGATAAAAGGATCAAGGAAAGGGTACATTGGAAGACTTGAAAAAACAGAACCAGAAAGAGTCAACCACGCTCCCTTAATGAACAGAATTTCCTCCTCCCCAATTTTGTCAAAATTTTCTCCAAAATACGGTTCTAAAAGTCAAGTTTTCTAGGATTATCATGCAAGGCACACCTAAATGCAATAGGGGAAGAGCTTCTAATGTGCAACGTGAGGTGGTCCCAAGTGCGTGAATGTCCAAACATTACCGTAGTCAGCCAATACATAGAACATCCCAACTAGTAGACATAAAATGGGAATGGGAAGTCACCCTATCTAATCTCCCTACGAGCTTTCTTCTTTCTTTTCCACAGGGCTAGCTATTTTCTTCTCGATGGATAGACACAGGACTAGCTAGATTTTCCTTTATCACTGCTTTTCCAAGGTTAAATTTAAAGATTTTCCTCCCGTCTTGGTGATTTTGTTAAAGGAATACCTATTTTAATCTCCCAGCTAGAGCTTTAGTTTAGCAGAAGGTGATACACTAAGGTCACCAAACTAATAGACTAAGAATCCTTAATTATAATTGCCTTCTTTTTTTGTATCATCCAATTTTTCTACATCCTGCAGTTTGGAAAAAATCCATAAACCATGTCTGAAAATGTACCAAAAAATTTCAGGAACATTAACAAGAAACCATCCGGCCAAGAGACATATCCCCTACCAAGCTTACAGTAACAGCAATAACCCCAGCTACCATATTCAAACAACCATTAATAAAGGCTCCAATTAAATTCTTTGGGAATCCTCTTTCTTATATAACTTGGTGAAAATATGAATGATTTCCTTTTCAACATCTTTTCTTCAACCAGCCACCAGGCTAACTCCCTGAAGATGTCCCAATTCAAGTGAATTATAACAAACTTCTCCAATTGGACAAAAGTGTAGCAAGGATATAAGGACGAAAAAGAGGTAACCTTCCTCTACATAATTTTTCACGAGACCACCAAGTGACATTAAAGTTTACTCCAGTATAACTCCTAGACAGTATCCTAATAGGCTTTCTAGTTCCAACCACTAGAAATGACTCCCCAACATTCCGTAGGCCCATCAA